CGCGTAGGCGCCGGGCTCACTGCCCCGCCCACCCGCCGGGGAGCGCCACTGGCCGTCCCGCCTTCCAGCCTCAGGGCTCACAGCCTCTCATTGGGCGGGTAGCCGTCCCTCTCCAGCACAGGCCTCATCTCTCTCCAGGCGGGCTCTGTCATTGGCAGCTTCTTCGTCCCGCCTCCTTGGTGTGAGCTCCTCATTGGCTGCCTGGTCCTGCTCCGGCGCAGGTGTGCACTCTTCGGGCGCTCAGCATCAGGACCAGGGTCCCGCCGCGGGGAGACTGGTGAAAGAAAAGAACTGCAGCTTTGACGGCCTCGGTTCAGGCCCAGCGTCTGAGAGGTACTAGCTCTGGAACGTGCCTTCTCTGAGTCGCATTCAGTTTCCCTGCTCCACCTTTCTAGGAGGTTGTGAAAATCACGTGAGATAAGGAATGTGAAAACGCTAGACAGGGGCTGCAAGTGCTGGAAATCGCTGACCAAGAATGCAGCCAGGGTTACCCTGTGTATTTGCTGAAACAAGGCCAGATGCTCCTGAGACTGCTGTTACGTTTATTTGCAGTTTCTACATAGTTGATATTCCTGCCTTCTACTTTAAAAAGAACAAAAGAGAAGGATTTCATCCACTCTCTACTCACATGGGAGGGAAGGTAAGAAGGAAGGGATAAACTCCCATTTTCGCCCTCTAAGAAAACAAGACTAGTCAGTGTGGATGGTTTACCACACTGATAGATTTCCTCTAGCAGGAAATAAAATTGGGCATGAGTTTCAGAATAAGTAAAAAATCCTTATTTATTGAGTTATATTATAGCTAAGAGAAGAAACTGAAGGGATTCAGAGAATAGTAAAAGGGCATATAGCTGGGGTCCTAAATTAGAGTTATGAGTCTTAACAGGGCCAGACTGGATTAGTAGGTGAATGACTATGCATTCCTCATAATCTCAAAACAAAAAACCCCAAAACAAAAACTTTGGCAATGTCAGAATGCAAAACATTTTAAGTTTACTTCCCAAGACTGAAAATGTTCCTTAAATTCTTTTTTGAGCAAAGCATTCATTGATAGCTGTGTGAACTTCTTTTATGTGCGGACTTAATATAATCATGTGGAGTTTTTGCATGGTAAATCATATTAACTTTAAAATAACTTCTTCACTCTACTTTGCTTTTAATTTTAGGGTCCTTGGAAACTGTAGACTCTAGAGCTTTGTTTCCTTGTTAGGAATCTCTTCCAATCCTACCAACACATTGGCAGTGTGTACACATCAAAGTTGTAGGACGAATTCAAAAGAGGAAAGCAAAGAGGCATAATTGTAGTGGCCGAGGTATAAAAACTAGTGAGACTGGGAATGAGGTTGGGTGACTGTATCAGTTATCTATTGGTACACAACAAACTACCCCAAAACTTAGTGGCTAAAAGTAACAATTATTTACTTGTCCCCAAATCTGCACTTTGGGCAGGGCTGTGAGATCAGGTCATCCCTGATCCATGTGGTGTCAGATAGGCTGAAGGATCCACTTTCAAGATTCCTTATGGAGATGGCTGGCAAGATGGTGCTGTCAGCTGAAAGCTTAGTTAGGGCCCAGTTCCACCTCACAGGCTACTTTAGCTTGCTCTTGGTTTGGTGGCTCTTGGTTCTACGAGTGAGCATCCAGAGATGGGAAGGTTTGTGTTGAGAAACTGGCAGTGTCACTTCTACTATATTCTATTGGTCGATCACAAAGTTCAAATTCAAGGAAATTTAGAGCCATGTTTTAAAACCTCCAGTGAAACGAAAAATGTGGACAAAGTCTGTGAGTGCCTAGGAACAAGAATTTACTTACTGGCTAACACTGGGTATATGGGAAACAATGGATTATGGAGCCAGGGTGTACAGACAAAATTGGAAGAATGGAAATGCAAGACCAAATGGCAGGAAAGGCTGGCTCCAAAGAGAGCCACTCAGCCAGGAGGTTGGGTATATTGAAGCCAGCTGAGCACAGGTAAAGACAAGGCCAGGCAGAGGCTGGGAAGGACATGTCAGAACACGGTCACGTGTTAGTAATCTGGTTGAGGATGGTCATAAATCCAGCAGTTCAAGTGAAGTGGTTAAAGGAGGTAAGACAATTAGAAACAAGGAGCAAGCACAAGAAAATAAGGCAATTCCAGAGAGGAAGGCAGGGACAGGAGTCCAGATCTAAAAAACACGTAAGAATCAGAAAATCAAGTCAAGGGGCTATAAAAACACACAAGACTTCAACACAGCATAGGGTGTGGAATGCCTACACTGTATCCATTTGGCTGGGCTGCTGAGAAATCTCATGGTACCTTCACTAAGCACCAAACAAGGTGGGGTCAGCAGTCACTGAAGTGACCACAACGTATCAATACACAATATGAATTAGGTAAAGACAAAAAACATGTGAATTGCAGTTATTTCAAGTCAGTTTTATTAAAGTTATTTCTGAATATCATATATCATCCTTAGTTTTCCCTATTTGATTTTGCATTAGTGTTTAAGATCCTTTATTCACTTATCAAATCCTTTGCCATGAAAGCACCAAGGAAGTTACATCAGTATCAAACTGACTGATTCCTTTATGGCAGTAAGAAAAATCTGTAAGATTTGTAGAATGCAAATACCAAAACACCAAGATCCCCCTTTAAGTGAGTGAAAGCTTCGTTATACATCTTCTGCAAGCCAATGTCTTTTCATGTTACCATCAAGGTGAAAATGATTCAGAGCACCAACACAATTTTCTTGTTCCTTCAGTCTAAAACTGTGGATTTCTTATGCTATGGTTAAGAACAAACAAACCCCCAAACAACCAGAAGCTGGAAGGAAAATAAGTCGTTCTGATTACCTTGTAAGTTTTAATAGTTAAGCATCTCTTAACCAGTATTTCCCTTTTCTTAGACTTTAGGCAGCTATAAAAATGTAGGAAAAACAATGTGTAAAATAAAAAGCAATAAAAATAAATATTTGAGAGCCTACTATAATAGGCAATTTACACATTTCATTTAATCCCCACAGTACTGTGAGAAGAATATAACCATTTTACAAATAAGGAAGCAGGTTCAGAAGGGTGAAATGAATGGGGCCCAAGGTTACACTGATGACTGAGCTGGGATTTATGTTCAGGTCTATGCTCAATTATGCTGCCCTAGCTCCCCAAAACCCTTCAACTTTTTGAGATTCTTACTGACATAGCTCCATTTTCTAAATTTACACTTTTAAGTCTGCAAAACTACTGGAAAATAAAAGTATCTAAAATTTATTCTCAATCTACCAACTAAAACAGGTTACAAGAACTATTAGAAAACTCTTCAAGTAATCAGAACATTCCATACCTAAAGTTATGGTTATTTTAATTCACTGGTAATGACAGCTAGCAATCCAAGAACACATTTATAATTATAATTGGCTTATTTTCTTGTCGCTATCTGTCACTCTCAAAGGAACGCAGGCAAAAAAAAAAAAAGACAAATTCCTATTGCAAAATCTAACTGTTCATTAAATTTACACTGTGCACTTAGTGGGATGCTAAGAGGTTCTGGTTTTAAAATCTTACCGCCATGGCTTTGTTTGCGTTTTAAAGGCATGCAGTTTTTTTTCTTAAGTGTCTAAATCTGGTGGAGATGGTAGGGCCCATTGGTGGATGGCTTTATTGTTACAAGTCTGTACAGTATCCTAGAATTACATATGTCCAAGAGGATAACTTTTACCACTCCACTGAAAGAGGTCACAGAGTTCCATTAGAAATGGATTTATTTTATGGGTAACCAACTTAAACCTAAACCTATGCAATTAAAACAATGAAGGAAAAGAAAACCCTAAACCTATGCGATCTGGACAGCTAACACTTAAGTGTCTACTGGGGACATATTTGTATGTTCATTAAAGAACTACTGAATCTTAAATGACTAAAGAATGAATGAATTTTAATGAATCTTAAAATGACTAATCTTAAATTAACATCCAGTTGTTCCTTATTCAAGTCCTCACTGAAATTTAGTTCACTAGTTTCAGAGATTTTTTTTCTGAGTCCAATTCTAAAAACACTGTTTTCATACTTCAGAAGCTGCAGAAAGGGTGAAATCAGATCATCATTCAGGCCTCTTCTAGCACTAAAATAGCCATAAGTGACCTCCTTTCTAAAGTCTAATGTATCTTCCATTCACTACCATATATTGAACAAACCTTTTATGAAACACCAGCTATAAGAAGCAAGACTGAAAGAATAAAAAATAAACACATAGGCTCATTAACTCTAGGAAGTCAATACATAAAAGGGGATTGACATGTTTACACATGTGACATAAAGGGAACTGGGTATTTTAATTTCTTGATGTTCCCTGCCTTCCAAGTCTTGCCTGGGTCGTTAGCCCTTGTAAATGGGAAGCGGAAAAAAATGAGTGTGAATATAAAGTCTGTCTGGCAGGAACTATAAGGACCAAAAAATGGCTAAAAGGAAAATAAAATAAAAAAGGTAAAGTCCTGAAAATCTGTATGTATAAAAATCAATCCAAATGATCTAAATTCATACAACTATAAGGCTTTATCATCTAAGTACCCAAATGCTAAACCAGTCCCTTTCCCCCAAAAATACAAGATCCTATATAATTCTGGTAATAAGGACTATTAGAAAGGAACATTCAGTTGAAAATACATAAACATACACTCATTTCCACCTAGTAAAGAGATTTTGGATTAAAAGTCACCAGAGTATGAATTTAAAGATAATTTTCTTAAACATACTTTGATAGAGGCCAAAGGAACACTTGTCACATTGTTCAAATGCCCAATGGCAAGACTTCTGATAAGACCAAACAGGTCACAGTAAATCAAGAGTGTCTTAGAAATAAAGCCAATATGACTAACCCCAAAACAGATCACATGAAGTAGCTCATGTACAATACAAACCTAGTTTAATAAATAAAGGAAACACAGGTGACTGCACTCTGAAGGACACTCAGTTCCTCATGGCCCATTCATAGTCTTCTCTGAGACTCCACTGCCACTTCCACCTGGGCAAGTCTAATGGTGCGGCCATGAAGCTTATAGCCATCTTGCCTTACTAATGCCACTGTGCCAGGCTGCACCCCAACACCAGCCGGCACATGACAGATAAGTTCATGCTGATGCGGGTCGTATTTGTCACCAATGGGGGTCATCTTCTCCAGGCCATGCTTGGCAAACACACTTTTCAGCTTTGCTTCTAAAAGTGACAACCCTCGGAAGATCTTCTCTACAGTGAGCTTCTGGTCCCCAGGCTCTGTTTCTTCGGAAATGCACTCTGTAGTCTTCTCCAAAATGTCTGCCACCTCTACCAGGTCCTTACAAAAACTCTGAATTCCTATGGAGAAACCAGACACTTTTAGTACTTGTGAGGAAATCACTCTGCCTTTGGGGGTAGAGTTTGGGGAATGTCCAGAGAGGTGGCTAGTACACTGGGCACACCAGGAAGTGGGAAGATCGCCACACAGGACTCAGGGATCATCAACCCAACTGACAAGCCAGTTTCTCTTGGAAAGCATATGACTAGGAAGCCTACTAGGAAACGAGGCAGATGGTAGAACCCAAGAACTAGGTAAGACTATTTACAACAGACTCAGGAACCAGTCCTTTAAGACCATTTTTATGCTTCTTGTATTTTTGTTGCTTTTTATTTTTAGCACTGAGTTATGTCCTAAATTTACATTTTGAAAATTCCTGCCTGTCTCAGTTATGTTGAGGCATGCATTCTCAATGGGGACAAGATGTTAGTATTCATGGGAGACAATAAAAAACAACAACTAGTTGCCCTGGCTGTTTTGGCTCAGTGGCTGGAGCATTGGCCTGCACAGACTGAAGGGTCCCAGGTTAGATTCTGGCCAAGGGCATTCCCATCCCCGGTCAGCATGCGAGTGGGAGGCAACCAATCGATGTGTCCCTCTCACATCGATGTTTCTCACTCTTCCCCTTCCACTCTCTCTGAAAAGCAATGGAGAAAATATCCTCGGGTGAAGATTAAAAAAAAAAAAATTAGTTGTTAAGACTGTGCTAAAGGGGAGTCAAAAGAGTGGTTTGAGGACTGGGTAAATAGGAACAGAAAATAAGACACATCCATAAATGAGTCTCCAACTGCCTGTTATAAAGGTGTATACACTTGATAGAGATGAGCCAAAACTTGTTTTATCTTTTTAGAGTTACATGAACTATTATAAGATAAAAACAAACTCAGTTGTTGAGAAATCTCATTACTCCCAATGCTGCACCTTGATTTTTTTAAACAAAAATGGTAAGGAATGTCACTATTACAGATGATAACACCAATACCCTGCTAGGGGCTGGTGGGGGCAAAGGACTTTGCTGATCCATCTTTAATCCAGGAACTGTTTTATGGACCTGTGCCCAAACAGGCAGCCATCTCAACTGTACTCAGAAGTAAATTGGAAGATCACCCACAGGTAAACAATAAGAGAGACAACAGACGAAGGAAAGACTGACAGAGAAGGAGGACTTCTACCTTTAACTTCAGGGTGATAATAGATTATAGCTTCTTGAGCCAAACAAGCAGAATGGGATTCAAACTAGTCTAATAATAATACACATAATGGATTTGGGGGTGCTGGTGCATGATACATGGCAGGAAAGGAAGATACCAGAACTAGGGGAGCCAACTAAAGTAATTTTGTTATGATATGGTTGGAAGGAGAGGAGGCAATGGAAAGAGTGAAATTAGGAGGTATTTCCAGGGAACTGGACTTGGTACGATCAAAGTTGTGGAAGATACCACCCTGACCCCCATTATGGATGGTAGCCAGAAAATGTTAACGGATCTTAATGAGATGAGCTGTGAAAGTAGAAGACCTTAACCAAAGGCCTGAAAAGTATGCCCATAAGATTAGTATTTCATCCAAGAGAAAAGAAGGTCTTATAAAGATCAATCAGGAACATCAAAAGCATTCCTCTGCTTATTTAAAAGAGACACTCACATTGAATTCTGAGTTTCTGGGCTGACTTGTGTACTGCCACGGTACAAAGAGCCCTGGCTTCCAGTCAGTAAAGTTGCAAAAAATTTGGGTAAACAGAAGCCTGGATTCTTTTGTCTATATAGTGAGGTGTGCAGTCTTTGATTCTAATCATTGTGTTATTTTAAAAGTGGTTGGTTCTGCATCATTTCTTAGGAAGGAAAAAGGATCCTTTGTGAACTGTTTGAGAGAATGTGGGTTACTGAGACAAAACTATCCCTAGAAGGGGAACAGATGTCATGCCATGTCCTTTTAAAGCATTCTCCTTTTTTCATACATCTATGCTCACTAAGCAATCTTCAGTTTTCTAAGTATTCCTGGTGACAAGAAAATGACCTAAGGAAATGACTTATATGGCATGTTTCACTAGATACATCTTGCTCTATAAACAAATTAAATTACCTATTACATTCTTTTGAGTTAATATGTACTTGTTCCTGGGGATCTTGTTAATTCTTGAGGAAACTGATATGAGCCAGTTCCTAACTCAAAGCTTGACTTCTGGTAAGCCAACTCACCCTACTCCCCTCAAGCAGGCAGGAAGTCTTCTTCAGTTGTCACAATTGGTTTATTTGCTACAAAAATTCCCTGTAGCTCATAGGTCAGCCAACTTTTTCTGTAAAGGGCCATATAGAAAATATTTTATGTTTTGTGGGACAAGAGGCAAAATCAAGGATTTTATGTAGGTGATTATAAAACAAAAAAGAAAATAAATTGCCACGAATATTTGATGATGAAATTCAGAACTTTATTTATGGACTAAGAGGTGTCAGGCTTGGAATGCAGGCTGTAGTTTGTCAGGCCCTGGTAGCTGGAAATGAGACTAAAATTTGGATGAAATATCAGGAATACAGTTTGAGCGTCAGTACTTAGCTGATAATTGAAGACTTGAAACATGATGTCTATAGCACTAAAAGAAAAGCAGAGGCTATGCCAAAGTACTGGGGTTGGACAGGACAGGAATGAAGTGAATCTGTGTACTAACAGCTAAAATCCAGAGAAAAGGAAGTAGTGTGACAGAGGAGAAATAATAATAGATTATGGGTCAGGGACAACGAACTCATGTCTACATCACAAATTCACTGTGTCATCTTACCTGTAAAGAGTGGACTAGATAGAATCCAAGCCCTGGCCCCCCAAGCACTTTCCTTCTATGTGTAGTGAAAGTATAATGTTATATATTAAATTGGGAGTACAGCAAATAATCACAGATTTGCCCTTTACCTTTGAAGCCATTACTCAACTAACACTTTAATGAACACATTTGGAGCAAGATGTGGTGCATGTAGAGAGAAAAATTTCTGAAAGACTTTGAAATAGACCAGAGAGATTCTCTACTGTCATCAGTGAAAAATTAATGTGATCTAGTATAGCCTCCTGGGTTATCTGCTTCCGTGAGGACCAAGCTTTTGTATCTGAGTTATTTTATAACTTAACAAGTTGTTGAATACTGAGAATAATGCAAAATTCTTGTCCACAATCCTAAAAATTGTCTGGTGGAGATACAGTTGATTACTGCGCTATAGATACAGACCAATTTTGCTACTATGAAGCAAATTTCAGCAGTCCTGATTGCCAATGTGTCCGTTTTTTGGATTCTCCTGGCAACATCTTAATGATTCACTGTTAATGAATTAAACACAACTGTTTGTATGAGCACTAGAATGTTAAATGTACATGCTTGAAAAAGAAAATTACAAAGGTTTGGTCAAACTAAAGATAAGCATTATTTTAATAAACAGTTCCCTTGACAATATCCCTTATCAGCAGCACAGAAAGCCTGTGCTATGGGAACAATGAAAGGGCGGAGAAGGGACCAGTTAAGGACTCAGATATCTGTGTTTTCACTATGTTCAGTTTGCAGAACTGTTAGTAAGTGGCCTTAAAGTAAAAGGTATTTTTTATTGTGAATAAATCTCTCACCAAATATCTTGGCATCTTCTACACATCTCTGGGTTCGCCTTCTTATGTTTTCACCATCGGCTATAGCTCTCTGGTATCTCACCTGACCATCAAAAGCAAAGTCAATATGATGAGAAAACAAATGCTTGTTGATAGGAAAGAATGTTTTTGCTAACTTTACAAATTTTATCCCTGTGACAGGGTATTAATTAAAAAAAAAAAAAAAAAAAAAAAAGAGTTGTAGGACTCTTAAATCAGTTACTCCAAATGCCCAAAGCAGGAACCTACTCTTTATAGAAGCCCTGAAAGGCTGTCATTTAGCCTGCTAGTTTGAACACTTCGACAGTTTTCAAACTCATCTTGAGAAAAAGCTTTCTTTTTCACATTCAGCCAACACTGCCACTGTCAAACTTTTGTTCAGTGAATTGAACTCTAAGACAAACAAGAGTGTACGTTTAAAAAAATGTGTCATCTATTTGAATGCAGTTATTTTAATCTCTTTAGTCTTTTTTTCTTTCACTTTTATAATCCCTGGTTCCTTTAAATGCTTTCATAACACATGCTTTCCAACCTCCTTACCATGGTTGGTCTTGCTTTGTAATTACTCTAATACTTATCTTCATCAAAGTGTGTCTGTCAACCCAATACTGGGTGAAGTATGCCAAATGTAGTCTGATCAGCAGAGTATAATGATAAATGACCTCAGTTATTCAACATTTATTGTCAACTACACGCCAAGCACTGTACCTCCTCTGAAGCTACCAAAATATCAGATACCTAAGTACTATAACACAATAGGGAACTGAAAGAGATGACTATCCTTAGTCAGTGATATTTTTTAACTACTACAGATTATTTTGCCGAGTATATCTAGCAAGAGTAGAAGTGGGATGAGGGGTAAAGAGTTAATGACAGGAAACTTAATTTAAAAAACCGACATAAAAAACTTTACTTGGTTTTTTAACCAGAGAGAGAATGTGAAGAACAGATAATATAAAATCTACTCACTGTTAAATCCTGGACTTCCTTCTCCAGTTTAACAGCTTTTAGCTTTAAGGCTCTTTCTGCAAGAGAGGGCCCAAGCTCATCAGGAGGATCCTCAGAACTGCAGTCCTCACCAGCAGTTCTCTGGGTGGCAGTGCTGAAAGGATGCAGACATCTCCTGAAGTGGGAGGGAGGTAGCTCATAATAGAGAAATGCCATCATAAACAGCCAAAGTTACAACAAAGTTCAGAGACCTGGGAAGTTTCCAGATTGAACTCAAGACAAAGTGTTTTCAGTCACAGTAACAATATGAACAATTATAAAGTGCTTACTAAGTACCAGACACTGTTTTCAGGATTTTACTTAAATCATATTTTCATTTCATAACAATGTGTGAGATAAGTACTACTATCCCTATTTTACAAATGAGAAAACTGAGGCTTAGAGAGGCTTAAGACTTGTTCAGGATCACATAGCTAGTATTCTTGGAGCCAGGATACTGAGCACCAGGCAGTAAGTAGAAACAGCCAGAAATGGGGACACAAAAATTAGCAAGAAAAAAAATCAAGTTCTGATACTCAGAAGCAGCAGGGCATTTATCAGTAGGGGGGAATTTGAAACACAAAGCCACACAGCTCTGGTTCAACTCTTCATTTTATAGCTGGGGAAAATAAAGCCCAGTACAGTGACTTTATCAAACTGAAGTTAGGCCTAGAATTCTAAACCTCCTTGATTGTAAGCTGTAAGAAAGGCTTTTAGAGAAGAGAACCTGTGCTGAATAGGAAAAATTCTGAGATGGTAACTCACCTATATGTAAAATCAAGTCAAATATGCATAAAACACTTAACTATATGTTATGGACTGTGAATTAGAAAAAGGTGAATAAAAGAGATCTTTGTATATAATTATGCTTATAATCTACAATTTTATACAGCCAAAGTGTTTGACATTGTATTCAGTTTACATAGGAAATTTGGAGTAGGGGCTAGTTTGTAGATCTTGGATTGTAGCAGTTCTGACCCCTCTTTTCACTGAAATTTCCAATACATCTCCTAGATCCTCATAATTTGATATTAAGTAAAATCATCAAGAAAATCAATCTGTGAGTACAAAATCTCTTTTAAAAACAGTTTATATAAACTGGCATATATCAAAGAGTGCTCACTGAGGTGACATCTGAGCAAAGGTTTAAAGAAGGTAAAGGTGTTTGCTTCAAGAAAGGGAAGAGTATAAGGTGTAGGCAAGACAAATTTTATTCCCAAACTTTCCAGGCCAGTTCTGAATTCACTGGTGTCAGATTATACATATGAAATACTTTCTTCCTCATAAACCCCTAATAAACCACAATTATTCAATAGGAAGTAGGTCAAAATATTCCAAGAGCCAGTTTAAAAGGAAAATGGCCAGAACTCAAGTCGTGAAAGACTTGATGCTTCATGCTTCAGCTTTTCGGCCTTTTGTCTAACATCAAGTGCAATTCCTACTGCTTCAGAACTGGAGTGGGGGTATATTTTATCAGGAGCCATTTTTCTTCTGGTCACTTCCCTACATCACAAACTGCGACAAAGACTTAAAAAATAAAAATAAAAATCAATCGTGATAAAAAAAACACAAACCAAAAAACAACAAACTCGAATTCCACCTCTCACCCAGGTATTAGGGCAGGGTGCTACATCAAGTGTGTTAAGATAAAAAGGTGACAAACGGTTATGCATACAGTAATTTTCGCGTTCCCCCGCGGATTAATTTACATTCAGAGGTCCAACCTGATCCGCCCCCTACTCAGCCATTTTAGTCTTTCTGAGGAAGTAGTAGTCCACAGGGAATTGTTCCAGAGAATAATTAACATTGCTTACTAAAGCCAAGCGCCGATTCTGGAGCCCTGAATGGTTTCAAGTCTGGGTTGCACCATTCCCGAGAAGTTACTCAACTTTTCCAAACCTCAGTTCCCTCAATTAAACGGGGACTAAGAAAAAGAATTACCCCTAGCTCTGCAATCGGTATAAGTAATAGATAAAAACTGCCGCAGCCCATATATAAAAACAGCAACTGGAACTTTACAGACTCCCGAAGGCAGGTGAAAGGGCCACCTGGGGAGAGACCAAATCCAACGCTCTCCTTTTCCCGACAGGTCAGGTGAAGGCCGGATAATGGGGAAGGGACTGGTCTAACGTCATACAAGAGTCAGGGGAGAGAATCCCAATTTACCTGCAGACACCACAGGGGAGAAGGGGCCGGGAGCGGTACCTGCCCAATTCAATCTACGCTCGGGGCTGCAGAGATTTCCCCCCTCCGAGGACGTGACCTCAGATCTTTCCATCTTCTCCGCGGGGCAAGGAAGCGCGGTTCTGGGCCTCAGTTTGCCTCTCTGTAAAATGGGGCCGTGAGCAACACATCGGAGCGGCCGAGAGGCTTGCTGGGTACTCTCGCCCACGACTGCCTCTCCGGCTTGCTCGTCCCGCACAGCCCTCACGTCCCCCACCCGCGGCCTGCTTACCTGCCGTCAGACGCGGCACTCGAGGCCAAGAGGTGCTGCACCCGCCGCCGGACCGCCCACAAGGACCGCGCGGCCATGTTCCCGACCTAGGCCGACAGAGGCAGAGCACGCGCACTAGCTCCAAGTGACGAGATACGCTCACTCAAAAAACCACGCTTCCCGGTAGCCTTCGCGGGCGATTCCCTCTCAGGGAAGCCGGATGCGAACGTTCATTTCCGGTGCGCGATGCTGTTACCAAGCCCGGGCGCGACACTTCCGGTCCTCGGTGTGTTCTGCGCGTAGGATGTGTTTCTGTCCCAACGATATAGACTCAGTGCTAGCCGTGGAATCCGCGGCGAACAAAGGGGACCCCAGCTGTGCTCTCTTGGAGCTTATGTGAGACTATAAACAACAAATGCAAACGCGATATAAAGTCAAAATAGGACCGAGGTTAAGGTGAGGGGCATGGTGCCGCGGAAGCCTAGAATACAAGATGGCCGAATGTGGGGAGTTTTCCTAGGGGAAATATTTGAACTGAAAGCTGAAGAATGAGTAGATGAAAGAGCAGGGAGTAGTTCAGGTAGAAGTAGGCAGCTTCTGCAAAGTCCCGGTGAAGAAGAGTATTGTGAGCAAGGGACTGAAATACTGGAGGAAGGGGAGGGACAGCGTAAAACATATAACGGTTAGGCATGGCCAGATCACCTGAGGGATTTAAAAAATAGGATCCTGACACCCCTCCATCCTCCATCACCCTTCCCAGCTCCTTTTCCTCCAATTTTCTAATTTCCTCCTACTGACATCTCAATTAGGGTAGAGATTTTTTTCATCTGTGAAAAGTGCCCTGATACAGTTCAAAAATTTTTTGAATAAACTTGAGTCTTATTTTGGTTGCAATGGAAAGACATCACAAAGCCTTTATATGTTTAAAGGAGTCACTTTGCTACAAGGAGGAGACAAGCTGTTGAAATAGTCCATGCAAGGGTCCTGGAGTCACCTCAACAGAGACCTTTGTAACCACCTTATGTAAAGTAGCTGCTATTTTAGGTGTGTCCAGCACAATTGTTTTCATGTTAGTATTTTATTTGCATTGTTTTCTTTTTACTTGTTCTCCCAACTAGAGTGGGAGCTTCATGAGGGTGTCTATTTTATTCATAGCTGTGATTTCTGACATCTAGTGCAATAGGTGCTCAATAAATATTTGTTGAATGAATTAATGAAGTTGGATGGAATGAGTAGAGATGGAAAGGAATGGGTGTATTTTAGAGAGATTTAGTATGGAAAGTTGACAGGATGTGAGGATGGACTGGTGATTAGGGTTAAGGATATTTGGAGTTGCCAGACCAGTTACTGGATAGTCCCTAAGGTTAAAAAAAATTTTTTTTAAGGGGTGGGAAGTGTGCTTTCATCAATCTTTGTGCATTTGCCATAACATGGCTTACTTGTATTTATAGCTATTCGGGCCAGATTTTCTCTCTACTTGTCTGCGAGTTCCATGAGGACAGCTGGAGTCTTTTGTATGTTTATATTCTATCCAAGGCCCAACTCAGATGTGTCGAAGCCAACACCTTATGTTTCCTTTTGGTGTTAGGAGCACAGCAGTATGACTTAAGGATGGATTATGATCCCCTTTTACATATAAGAAAATTGAGGCTCAGATGAACCTGCTCAAAGTCCTCCACTGAGGATCAATGACATTAGAAATCTGATAGTCCAAACATCTGGTAGTGTTGGGAAGGATGGAGCTTCAAGACCACCTTAGATCCATGAGCCTATACTTTGAAAAACAACCAAACAGCATTTAACAAGCAAGAATTGGAATCTATGGTTTAGCCATTGTCTTTACACTTCTCTTAGCTGTCCAACTTACACCAAATGTGCTGCATCCATGCATCCATTCATTTATCTATTTATTAAGTGCTAGTGTGCTTCTGAATGCTGCAGTGCAAGAGGAGGGGGAGAAATTGGTGAAATAGAGCCTTGGAACTGAGAGGAAGGCCTCCAGGGTCAGACCTTGCATTCATGTGCTGGCTCCACTACTTCCTAATTACGGACTTTGGCAAGTTACCTAACCTCTCTGGGTTTCCATTTCCTGAACTGTGAAAACTGGGATAATAGTACCTATCTCATAGGATTTTAGTGAAGACTAAAGGTATAATGCCTAGAAAAGTGATTAGTTAGCACCAGGACTGCCTACATAATTTAAAGGGCAAAAGGACTATGTGGAACCCTTGTTCTAAACTTACTAAGAAGGCAACAGCAGAGCAATCACACAAGCACAGAGCCCTGCTAAGCCTGACTGCACAGGTTGCATGCCTGTGAAGCTGGCTCTGGCTAACATAGTACCTGATGCATGGTGAGTGTTCAATAAATGTTAATAAATGTTAATTATTAATTTCTTAGGGTCCCACCTCTCATAGAGTCTAAGATCTATTGGTGGAAAAAGACACTTTTGGGTTGAGGACACAATTGGGTTGTCAGGTGACATTCCAGATCCACATTTTTAAAAAGCATATTGACAATCCAAATTATGTGAATGCCTTTGTCATTGAAGATACTCAGGGAGAATCTGAATGGAAACTCAGTTACAGATTGGTTGCCTTATAGCTCTTGGTGGTTGTAATTACCATGTGAAAGTCATTTCTTCCTCAGTGGAAAGGACATAGCATTTTGAATCAGACATTTCTTATCTTGTTAATAATAAGAACCACTATTGACTGGGTATTTACTATTTCTCAGACACTATGTAAGATGCTTCACATGTACTATCTCATTGAATTCCTCTAACAGTCTTGGGAGGAAAGTACTGTTGTTAACCTGGTTTTGATAGATAAGGAAAACAAGAATGAGAGATGTCAAGTGACTTTCCCAAAGTCACAGCTGTTAAGTGGCAGACCCAGCCCTGTCTGGATCCAAGCTCTATAAGCCCTAAGGCTTATGCTCTGCCACTGACCAGCTGGGTTCTTTGGGTCAGGTTATTTTTCTTGCTCTGGTCTCCAGCCACCTTGGAGGGTGGAAAAGTTTGGATGAGGCTCAAGCATGTAAATAAAGCCTTAGGCAGGATCAAGTATGTGAAGCCTCTAGCAAAGTATCCAGAGGTTATTATGGGATTTCCCTTCTCTCCCCTTGAGCTAACCTCTGAGCTCCTACAGCTAAATGGGTTTTATTGGAGGGAAATGTGGTAAAGACTTATAAAGGGACTACAGTGTTGAGAAAGTAGTGAGTGCCACAGTAAGGACACTGCCCAGGACTTGAGGTCCTTGCTCCTCTATAAAAGTATCAAGTGTTTGTAAAAGGTACTTATGTGGCAGAAATGAGCCACTGTCCCTTTGGTTCTCCCTGATAGTTTTACTTGATAGCAGATATGGAAGAGTGGACAGGTGGGCCTCTGAGAGCAAGAGGAGCGTACCCCCTACATTTCTAACTATAACTCCTGGAGCCGAGTGTCATATAAAATAGGTGAATGACTTGAATGACAGCAAGTGACCCCACCCTACAAAGCTTGAAACACCTTGTGGACATTAGAAATCCATGCTCCTGTCACTGAGTATCACTGAGCTTAAAATATGTCAGCTCCTGAACCTCTCCTTGCCTGCTGCTTACTCAGATCTCTGACTTGAAAATAAATCTGTGGTTCTGGTAGCTGCATCTGCCCAAAGCAGATGAAGGATGATTGTAGAATTTGCATGTTCTCTATATCTTTTGTTCACCTTTTTGCACGCAGAGATCGTGCTATTGATTTTTCAGCCTATTTATCTTGCCCAAAGGCTGTCAGTATTGCCCAACACAAATCTAGTTGGCGCAGATGTGATTGGATGATCAAGTCGCCTCTCTGTATTGCACCACGGATACTTCAGCACTGCCTGCCTTTGCCCCAAGGACTGGGGATGGGATGCTGAGAATGGGATAGAATGGCTTATTCACATGTGCTTTCATTTCTTCAGAAGGGAAGGCAAAGACATTTAACAAAACCTTTACAACTGTGCAGATGTCTGTCTCCCTCCACCTCCATTTCTCACCCCCTGTAAAGTTATATAGGGATGTCCTTCATTTCCTTCTTCCCTTCTACTTCTTCCCTCCCTATACCCCTATAATCATGCAGACAATAAAGGCTGGTCTTTCAGGTGCCCCGGAGAGTGGGGGCTACTTTCAGTCTTCTGATATCTCCTTGTGAAAAAAGCATTTCCGCCTTAGATGGGCAAGCTGTTATTTCCTTTGGATAACATTTTCATCCTCTCTAGGTCTTCTTCATTTCCCATTCCTGAAGTACAGAAAGACAAGACAAATCGGTTTGTTGTATAGTCTAATGCAACTTATAGGATAAAAACATTTCACTGTTCCTAATTACGTAAAGATCTCCACTGGCCATATTAGAGAGCTATAGGTCCTAGTCCTACTCTCCTTCTTTGGCTGTGGGTAAGTCATTTCCCCACACTGGGTCTCATTTCTTCAGGGCGCTCAAATACCACAAAGTGTCTTTCTCAGCTAAGAAAACTGAGGCCCAGAATGAAGAGGGGGGCAGGAACTGCATCTGGTTCCAGTGCTGTTCCACATGACCTTGGGGTGGGGTAGGAGGCTGATGGAAGAGAAGCCAAAGCAGCTGGTAAGGAAGGGTGAAAGCAGGCATCCCACAGGGCTCCGTTCCTCCTGCCGGGGCTGTCTAGGAGTTCTGAAAGGGATATTGAAGTCATGGCCAACAGTGGATGGCTGTTTACCCATGAACAGCGCGTGGGGTTTCTAGCCAGCCCTTGAGGTGATGGTGTGAACCAGTGTTGAACGTTGTGGTTCGAAAATTCTTGGTGAGGGGAATCTCCAATCCTAACCTGCTCCTCTCCCAGTCTTTGCCACCTAAACCACAGTTGCTCAGGTCAGTAACCTAGGAGTCATCCTTGATTCCTTTCTTTTGCCACCCTCCACATTCTCATCAGCAAATCCTTTGGCTCTACCTCCAAAGCCAGCCACTTCATATTACCTCCACTAAATCTTATCTATTTCTAACTGGTCTCTCTTATCCCCTCATCCATTTTCAATATAGTAGCCAGAATGGTCTTTTAAAAATGTAATTCACATCCAAAAATTCCTTGCTCAAAACTTGCCAATGACTTTCCATTATGTTAGAACAAAATCCGAAGTTCTTCCAAGAGTCTACAAGGACCGAGGATCGTGTTTGTACAAAAACATTTAGTGGGCCAGATTTGTATGACCTATCAGCTAAGAATGGTTTTCACATTTTAAATGTTAAGAAAAATCATCTTTTCATGATGTGAAATTTATATGATGTTCCTATCTCAGTGTCCATAAATAAGGTTTTATTGGAGCACAGCTATGTTTATCATTTGTTTACATGTATCTACAGCTGCTTTCCTGCTACAGTAGCAGTTAAGAGGTTGTGAAAGAGCCCATGTGGTCCACAAAGACTCAAATATTTACTGTCTGGTCCTTTATAAAAAATATTTGCTGATGTCTGGTCTAGGTGATCTGGCTTCTGAATGGTTACTTCTTTGATGCTCAGTATTTGTTTTTCAAGACCACATTTTCTTATCTGCAATTCTGACATCCAGAAAGCTCTGAGACCAAAATTTTTCTCAAGTGTTTTGGCACAAACTTATATGGTGGCAAGACCTGACCTGAACTAATGTAAAGCTACTTATAATCTTTTTATTCCATGTGGTGTGATTATTCATGTGTCTTGCTATAGAATTATCAACATGTTTGCTTACAGGGTACCTCTTGAGAACTTGTTGGGGTTTTTCACCTTATATAGTATGTGCAGCATATTACCTTTCTAAAATCCAAAAAGTTCTAAAGAGAGGTGACTCCAAGAATTTTAGAGATGGGACTGTGCACCAATATCATGGAATGAACCCTGGACTTGGAATTGGAGGAGATGGGTTTGGAAGGCAGCTCTCACAATAGTGTCCTGCATAACCTTGGGTGAGTCCCTTTACTCCCTGATCTTCAGGTTTCTTACCTAGGAAATGGCCTTTCCTGTCTCAAAACACAGTGTAAGCTTGTTAGAACTGTGTGTTAAGAAAGAAATAGGTTTTGAATGAGATTTGAGGGTCTCCTCCTCTGAGCAAAGTTAATGAATTTTATTGCATTGATATATTGGCAGTTCTTTGTCTTTCTCACTAGCCAAGTTTTTTTGGTTCTTGGTGAGTTTCCATAGAAAGGAGGCTGCCAGATCTCTGAATTTTGATCAGTTGAACTATTGCTGTACCTTGGCTTTTTGCAGCACTCTTCCTTGGTTGGAGGTTACGATGGATGGGCTCCTCTTCCTCATCTCAGAAACACAGTTGACAGGGAGAGGTTGCTCTGGTGCATTGTTCTGGGGTTTATTTGTAGTTTCCTGTTGATGACAAGAAATAATTACATAGGTGAAGTCTAGTGCTGGCTACCTACTCCCAGCCTGCCTCCAAAGAATGCACATAGACGGCACTATGCAAACATATTAGCATCAAACAAGGCGAGGGAAGACACTTGAGGGTCTTGGAATAAAGCTGATGGCAGCTAAACTTACTGACCCTCACTATATACTAGGCATTGTGTGGGTTAGCTTATTTAGCCTTTTCAAGCCTTTGAAGTAGGGACTATATTCATCTTATTTTACAGATAAGAAAAATGGGAAGGTCACATGACTGGTGAGTGGGAGAGCTGGGATTCTTACCCCACTCTCCTTCCTATCCCATATTCCTCCTCATTTTCTACACTTCACTCACTCCTGAAAATTTCCAGATGATCGCTTAGTACCTTATTGGATGTAGTTCCTTAAATGGGACATATTAACAGCTTAGCCTGCAGGGAATTTAGAGAAGACTTTTCTTTATCTCCAAAGGCCATGGAAAGGGTCAAAAGTGGAGGGAAAGTCGTCTAGAACGTGGGCATCAGGGCATCAGGTGGGAGGAAGCAGCTGGGATGAACAAACCACTTCCAGCTTGTCCACTAGCCCTCTGTGACTCTGTGACTCTTGTTTGGTCCCTGGCCCTTAAGCTCTTCATTTTCAAAAGAAGTTGGAAATGTTCATGGAGAGGACATGTAGTGTGGAAGACACAGCCCTAACTTTCCAGTCATAGGCTGAGGTCTGACCAGGCAGCTGTTACCTTGGCCAATAATAAGAGTTCTCAGTGACAATGCACACATATCAGACAAATGGTTTCACTTCTCTGAGTCTTAATTTCCTTGTCTTAAAAGCAAGTAGAACATTTATTTGTTTGAAACATTTATTACACTCCTACTATTTTTCAGACTATGTAAAAGGCTAGGGCTATAATGATAAAAAACATATAGTCCAATTCTTAATAAAAATACCATGTAGTTGAAGAGAGAGACAAATAAGGATAGGAATATATATACACACAAATTGTGGTTAACTGCTGTGAGGAAGAATAACAGATGGGGTGGGACTGTGGGGTACCTTCGACCAGCAGTTCCCAGATTGGGGCAATTTTGCCTTCCCAGGGACATTAGGCAATTTTGGGGGACATTTTTGGTTGCCATAACTGGGGACCTGGAGCTACTGGCATCTAGTGGGTAGAGGCTAGCGATGCTGCTAAACATCCTACAATGTACACTACAGTCCCCTATGAAAAAAAGAATTATCATTCCTAAATGTTGATAATGCTCTGATACAAACATGTTGAGATACTCTGATATAAACATAGGCCCTCTCCCTGAGGAAGTCTCATTCACAGTGTGAGTATCGACCTTGCAGGGTTGCTGGGAAAGAGACAACGGATGGAAAGCCCTGAGGACATGGCCTGGTACATTGGGGATCCTAGGAGAGGGCATGTGCAAGGTCGCTAATGTTAGCAGAGCTCTGGAGTTAGACATCCTGGGTTTGGGATCCTGTCTCCCACTTAGCTGAGTGACCCTGAACAGTCGTTCAGTATCTCTGAACCTCAGTTTCCTTGTCTGTCAAATGTGGTGAGTACACACAGTACTCATATAACTGCTGTGAAGACTATGTGGATAATACAGGTTAAGATGCTGTACTGGCATGTGGTAATTGATCAACACAGGTTTATAATTCTCATTCAAAATATGGTAGTTATTATTATCAGAAACCTCAAGGCCACTTCTGAGACTGCAGTCAGGTGATGGATCAGTGGAGAGAACACAGGCCAGAGAACTTGCTGCAAGAATCCCTTTCCTAGCTGTGCCACCAATGGCATATCCCTTGGGGCCTGTTTTGTCCTCTGTAAATGAGCATGACTCCTAGCCCTAAAGAATGATCATGATCTGTAGCATGTGAGGGCATTAAGGAGCTGCTACCCTGGTGCAGCAGGGAATGGACTCACTGTACTCTTGTTCTTGCTGCTCATGGAGAGTCCCAGGGCTGGCCCCCCTGCCAGAGACTGCTGTAAGCGCTCCTTCACAGCCACCAGCTTCAGCTCCAGGTCAATCCGGTGTTCCTCCTTTGCCCGACACTGAGCTTCCAGGGTGGCCATGGCCTCCTCCAGAACCTTTAATTTTGCTCCTGTGTCCAAAGACATTGATGAGAAACAGCTGAGCCTGACCTGAAGCATCAAGCAGTTTGGCAGGGCCTCAGGCCCTAGTCTGCCCCCCTGGAGGGCTTTTCCTATCCTTGGTCCCAGTTAAGAGATGGAGTTGGGCCTGGGGTTCCAGCTCCATGCTGGGTCGTGTGGTTTTTACCTTCCCAATACCCATTTCCCCATCTTCTGGTTACAGAACCCTGATCCTCCACCTTTCTTCTCATTCTTTGTAGTGAGGATGGGGCTGATCTCACTTCTAGTTCAATGGGTTGTTGGCACATAACCTAGCCCTGGCCCATAATCTTATCTCAATCACTAGTCACAGTGATTGGTTTGGGGATGGAAGTTGGTCAGGGTGAATCCTGAAGTGTTTGTGGGGGCCATTGGGAAAAGAGGTTCTCTCTTCTGGGGTGGCTGAAAGGCTTAGGTGAGGGCTGGAGCTGCACACCATTTTCTCAGCATGAGGGGCAGAGAATGAAACCAATGTAGAAGAAGGCCAAAGCAAGAGTTAGAGAAATATGCTTCCTGGTGACATCACTTAAGCTCCTGGACCTCACTACGTTCGAATGTTGTGTTTCAGTTGTGCTTTTCTTCTTTTCATTGCTATGCCAGTTTAACTCTGGTTTCTATTGTAAGCAAGAGTCATAGCCTAAGGCTTACAGTGACCAGGGTTCCTACTGGAATTTAGCTGCTTATTTCATTTACCCAACAAATCTATATTAGAACCTTCTTTGTGCCCAGAGCTATGTTGAGCCTTACTAGGTTTAAAACATAGTTCCACTGTTTGCCCTAAGGGAGGCTGCAGTGGAGGGTTGTCTAGTAGTGGTGGGTTCTTTTCATTCATTTGTTCACGCGGTAAATACTTAATGCGTGCTCACTATGTACCAGGCACTGTCCATCATTCCCAACACCTGGACCAATGTCTCACACAGTACTGAAAGTGTGCTAAATTGCAGTTATAGAAAGAATTAAAAGGAAACAGCAGAGTAAGGGATTCAGAGGAGCCCAGAGCTGGTAGGGCCTGTGGAGGTCATAGCCCTGGATTTCAGAAGAAGATCCTGGCAAAGTGCCACTGTCCATAATTCACCTATCTGTGAATGAATGAGTTAATGTGAGGTTCAAAATGATCTTTTATTCTTTTGATGGTAAGGCACACTCTGTTTTGCACATTTTAACATTTCTAAAATCAGATTGCATCTTACCACATTAAGTATACACATTTTTGTGAAGCTCTTTCATCCCTTTACCCCCAGAGCAGTTATTAAATAGATGGCACTTCCGTTAGTCAGGAGGGATGGTGATAGTGGTGAGGAGAAGGAGGAAGGGAAGGAGAAGCTCATCTGTCCTGGGCAAGAAAGCAGGTGATCTGTTCTGGGGGAAGTGTCAGGGCTGAGTCCTCTAAGAGCACTCGGGACCACACCCATGTAGGTACCTGGGTTGTTCCGAATGGCATCCTTTAGCTCTCTCTTTTCCTGCCGCAGTGCCATCAGCTCTGTCCGGATAGTCTCCTTCTCTTTCTCCAGCTTCTCTTTTTCTACCAGGTACCTCCGGGCATCCTCCTCAGCTCGGTTCTTACCGTACTTATATTGATTGGCACCTGTGGAGACATGAAGCAGGAAAAGGCCCTCAGTTCTGACCTGTGATCAGGGTACTTGGGTGGTGTTAGCTTCTCTCTCAGCCTTAACTTCTCCATCTACAAAATGGGAATATTTAATCTGTACCCCTAGATATATTTAGTGTGGCTGCTCTCAGGAAACAAGGAGCAAAAGGGAGGTAGTAGAGGGCAGGGGCAAGGAGCAAGGGCTTTGGAACCAGACAGACGAAGGTTTGTGTTCTCTTTTGCTCTTTACTGGTTGTGTGACATCAGGCAAAAGTGAATGGTGGTGTTTTTGTGCCTTCCCCCTCGGCCCTAGTTTCCTCATTTGTAAATGTGGATATTGATCAAATTTCCTCTTAGCATTGTGGTAGGTTTTAAATGAGATAATCCATGAAAAGTACTTAGTGTAGTATCTGGCAAATAGTAAGTGCTTAGTAAAGGTTCAATAATAATAATAGTAATAATAATAATAATGTAAAACAAATTTGGTAATGTATAACACACTTTGGTTTTAAAAGGGCATATTTTATAGTCAACTCTCAGGTATATACAAGACTAAGAGACCGGTAGATATAACTCATGTCCATAGAGAATTAAGACATTGGGCTAAAGTCAGGCATTGCCCATTTTATTACTGGGATATGGGTAGAGGTAGAGAGGGATCTAGTAGTTTACTATGGGCTCTACACTATGATGATGGACAGAACAACAAATAATTATAGCAAAAATGTATTAAGCATTTACTAACTAGGCCATTTATATGCATTTCCATTTAATTTTCATAAAAACTTACTATTATTAGCTCTATTTTATTGTTGAGGAAATAGTCACAGGAAGGTAAGATCTTACTGCTAATAATGGCAGAGCCAAGGTTTGAACCCATGCTCACCTAACTCCAGGGTCCATGCCATGCACTACTAGTCTAGCTGGGGCAAGGCCATAGTCCAACCTCTCAGGGAAAGTTTTATTTATTTTGTTGCTACAGACAGCCACACACAGTCCTTTGTAAGTTGGTGAGGTGTGGAATGATTCCCATAATTTACTGATAATTGTCTGGGTCTTGTCTCTCCAGTTCTTGTAGAGACTGTAGTGGTTACCCAGTGACCCATGCAATCAGTTCCTGCCACAGATACCCTGCAATACAAGCCAGATCACAAAGCATGGAGGGCAGAGAAGGGGGCTCATACTTCCTCCAACTTCCCAGATATACAACGGCGTGTCAGGGGAGTTGGCTCCCAGATGTTTGAATTTTATAGACTGGTAAAAAAAAAAAAGGGTAGACCAACAAAGGGTTGTTGACATATCAGGTAAGGCCCTTAAAAACCCCAACTACCAACTAATTATTCCCAATATTTTATAAAATAATATTTTAACATCCCCATAGTTGGAAGGACACAAATGCAGAATAAAATAGTCATTTACGTGGAATGGATTTAGCTTTATGAAAAACTTCATGCACTGTGCATTCCATAAGGCCCTATATTTCCAGTGCCCTAGACAGTAGCATGTAAGGAATGTTACACAATAATCCTCTAATTGTTCAGAGGGAAAACTCAGGCCCAGAGAGGGAAAAGGACTTCCCTAAAAATACATAGTAAAGTGACCAAGTGAGGAATGAAATACAGGTCTTTTGACCCCAGAAAGGGATTGGAGCTATAATAAAGAAGGGTATTTTAAAAAATAAATCTTCAAAAATCAAAGAGTAGAATTTGATTGTGTTCAGCTGCAGGGGAAGAAATGTAAAGCAACAAATAAAAGACTCTTGAAACATGCTATACTACTGGAAGTTGGCTTGTTCATACAGACAAATCACTTAAGAGCAGATTGCCATTGGAAATTGAACAGAACTCACCCTGGAGTTGTCTGGCATACTAAGTCATTACTGTGCAGTATGGCTGTAGGGCAATTAACTGAACCCTGATGGGGTGCTGTTAGAGCTCAGGCTGGGACGCAGAGGTGAGCCATGCTTTTTTTGGTGGCAAGTCCCTCAAGGGCGTTTGGAGGAGTTCAGTTCTCTACTTATTACCCCAGATCAGAAATAATAATTGTCAGCCTCTGTAACACATACAGTTGAGGATGAACTTTATAAATATATACATATGCATGTATGTATGTATATTTGGCTTTATTTGATGTTAAATTTTTTTTAAAGATATATCTTTATTAATTTCACAGAGAGGGAGGGAGGGGGAGAGAGAGAGATAGAAACATCAATGATGAGAGTGTTGTCATTGATTGGCTGCCTCCTGCACGCCCCCAACTGGGGATCAAGCCTACAACCCGGGCATGTGCCCTGACAGGGAATCGAACCCTGATCGCCTGGATCCTAGGTCGATGCTTAACCACTGAGCCACGCCCGGCTGTGCAGATGCTCAACTTCTGAGCCACACCTGGCCGGGCTGATGTTAAATTTTTTAAAAATCAGTTGCTAATAGTAAAAAATAAGTAGATTTCATATAAAGTCTAGACTTATATGATTTATTTTCATATAAATCATATAAGTAGATTTCATTTAAAGGCTGGAGCTGAGTAGTGGCCACTTCTGAGCACTCCAGTTTCCTACATTCTCCCCCACCCCACTCTGTGTTTCTCCTCTGAGGCCATGTGCTAGCTGCCCTTCATCACTGTGATTGTGATGTGATTTTTCTTATGGTAGAGTATTTTCTTACACCTCTCTTCACTCATTTGTTTACCTGCCTGATCTCTGGAGGAATATGATTTTGAGACTCCTCCCACTCATGGACTGTTTCCCTCCCTCCTTCCTCCCACACAGAACTCACTGGAGGCATGGCGCTTGACTTTGACTTGCGGATCAACTCGATGGGACTTCTCGCTGCAGGAGGAGGCGTGGCGCTTCACCTGGGCCCCAGTGGGACGTCCAGGCTCCTCGTCCTGGGTGGGAGATGGAGGAAGAAGATGAAGTGCAGGTAGGCTCAGAGTCATCAACACGGGCGTATTCTGGTTCATGCTCTGTGGGTGAGTGCTGCTCTGAGATCTTGGCCTTACATTTTTAAACTTGTGCAGCACGCAACAGTTTCTAAACCATGTTTACTAGCAGTATATCATTAGATCCTCATACCACCCAGGGAAGGGGCAGCAGAAGATAACCCTAAATTGGAATATCTGCTGAGAGGAAAATGAAGAAGTCTGAAGAGATTGTGGGTGACCATGTTTGATTTATCATAGCTATTTTGTCCTCTCTCATTTTGAAGTATCCTTTAAGTTTTCTGAATTATTAAAAAAAAAGTCATGGATGAGATCACCTAATGGTAGAAGTTACATAATTAGACTGACTATACATTTGTGCATGAAGAGTATTAAGAACACTCAGAATTCTGTGAAAGCTCAGGAACAATGAATGGAATGTGATAATAAGGTAATATAATAATGATACTAGTTAACAACAGTACGATTTACTTTTCTGTATAAGACCTTCCTGTCCAGGCCCTATGCTAAGTTCTTCCCTTAAAATATTTCAGTTCTTGCAATAGTCCAATCAGATAGGTTTTATCATATCAGTTTGAAGCCCGGAAGTGAAGACCAGAGAAGTGAAGCCCAAGGTAACTAGGATTGAGCCCTGAGTCCAAAGTTTGCTACTAAGCTCTGCAACTGAGAAAGATCTCAGGCTGCATCCACTGGTTCATCTGTGTCTAAAGAAAGACCATGTAAAGGAAGTCCTAGAGGTGTGAGCTCAGAGTATCACCTAGCACTGCCCAAGGCAGGGGTCCTGACATGACTACTTTCCTTGGCAGCTTGATTCCCCCTCTCTCCCCTCGCTGTGAGGCCTGACCCACCCACCAGCATCTGATCAGAATGTAGTTTTCTGGCTGTCCTGTGGGAGGAAAAGGCATAGAAGGAGCAGTCTCGGTTGTGTGATGGCCACAGAAGCCTCACTGTAATTAATGAGCTGACATCCCCTTGATTTAGTGAGCAAGACAGGGAGCTGTCTTGGGAACTGAAGTCTAGACTGTGGATGCCACCAGGTGAACGCCTATAGGTGTGGCCACCGAGTTATTGCCTCCCCCTCCAGACACCACTGAGTCAACAGCTTTAGTTCAGAGAGTCTTCAATGGGTGGAGAGCCCAACACCTTGCTCAAATTGCAGTAGTGCCTTCCAGTGTCCAGAGCCCTTTCTCCTCTTGATCTGGAAGATTTTCACTGTATCACCCAGCCTCCTGTGCCAGGGATTCCTCATCCTGAGCCATGATCTGTGATAAGAAGGGTTGTCCCTCCCTTCCAGCTGCTGGTTAAATGAAAACAGTCTCTCTGAGGCAAAGGAAAAAAGGAGTACAGTCGTGCTGCATAGTGATGTTTCTGTTAAGGCATGTACAACAGTGGGCCCATAGATTATAATGGAGCTGAAAAATTCCTGTTGCCTAGTGACATCATAGCTGTCTTAACGTTGTAGTACATTGCTCATGTGTGGTGTAAATAAACCTTCTGTGCTGCCAGTCTTATAAAAGTATAGCACATACAATTATGTACAGTACATAATATTTGATAATAACAAATGACTGTGTTACTGGTTTATGTATTTACTATACTTTTAACTGTTATTTTAGGGTGCACTCTTTCCACTTATAAAAAGTGTGCTGTAAAACAGTATACCATGTTACACCAGCAGCCTCATGTATGTTGTGTTTGCTGTCTCTTGATTGCATTATTTTCTCATGAGCTTCATTTAGTTTCATGTTGTTTTGTACAGTGACATGCTGTACAGACTTGTAGCCTAGGAGCAGCAGGCTGTGCCGTGTAGTCTGGATATGTAATAGCCATACTATCTAGGCTTGTGTAAGTGCACTCTATGGTGTTTGCACAAGGTCAAAATTGCCTAACAACGCTTTTCTGAGAATGTATCTCTGACATTAAGCGGCGTGTGACTGTAGTAAGGGAAAAAGAGAGGGAGAGCTAAGAAGTGCCTTTGCCATATTGCTGGGTAGCCCCAAGGGATCGTACCTGCATCTTTTCATAAGGGACATCATCATAGACACGGGGCTCAGGCCACTGATCCTGGCAGGACCTTGCATATCTAGAAAATACAAGGTATGACGATAACACTCTGCAGCTAACAGTGCTTTCCTGTCCACTCTCTCATCTGATTCTGGCATCAGCTCCTAATAGATATTGGAAGGTTAGTAATCCAACCATTCCAGGCAGCACTGGGCCATTGCTGTGCTAAGGGCTTTGTAGGCAGGGACCCATGTATTCTCACAACCACCCAGGAAACAGGTAATGCATCACTTTCATTGTATAAGTGAGAAAACAGAGGATCTAAGCCAGCAAGCAAGCAGCCAAGCTGTTGATCTGTGACAGAATTGTGACTTGAAGCTAGCTCTTCTAGTCCCAAACTCCACATACCAGCCTTATGCTTGGTCCCCCCCAAAGAGGCTCAGGGGTGTGAGAACCTAAGGTTCCATGGCAGGAGAGCAGAGCCCATGTCACTATGAAAAAGGGCTTCACTTTGCTCATTCCATCCACAGCTTCCCCCAACCCTGGGTTAACTCCTTTAGTCAGCTCAGTCCTGTCTGCTGGAAGAGGAATGCACCCACTCTGACTTCCCAAGGGAGCAGAGTCCTCCTTAGCCTTCCCTCCCAGTGCCCAGGGCTGGACTCAGAGCTTCTGAGAGGAAGCTGAGACAGGAAAGGTCCTGGGCAGCTGTAGGCTGCAGGTTGCGGACTCTTACAGGAAGGAGTTGCGTCCCGCACTGACAATGCTGGTTAAGGTCTCCACATCCACATAGTCATAGTGCAGCGCCTCGGGGGTGACTTTGGAGCCCATCTCCACCAGCAGCAGCCCAAGCCAGCGACCCATGTCCTCTGAGCAGCTTGCCTGAGGGAGAGGAGGCATAAGCTGAGTTCACTTTGGCACTGTCAGACCTCTGGCTACCTGCTTACTTCAGCCAAACCCGTATTTATATAGTACCTGTTATGTATCCAGTACTTAGGGATCCAAGAGGAACAAGGTGGTTTATCTGAGGTAGACAAACCCTGGTGGGAAGGCCTTAGAGGGGATTTCAGAATCAGATCTGGATTAGATCAGACTAGATACCTTTCAGACTTGGGATTTTAAGATAAGGGAGCAAGAAGAAACCTTGGTTCTAGGGTAGCCAGATGTAGCAAATAAAAAGTAGAATGCTCTATTAAATTCAAATTTCAGATAAACAGCAAATAATTTTTTAGCCAAGATATGGCTCAAATATTGCATGGGATATACTTGTTTAAAAACATCTTGTTGTTTATCTGAAATTCAAATTTAACTGGGTGTTCTGTATCTTAACTGGCATTCAGCCTTACTTGATGACTTGGCAGCAGTTGGCTTACTTTCCCTTCTTCCTCACTCCCTGTATTGTCCTTAGCAAGGTACCTAAGACAAAAGTTAACTCCCAGGCCAGCACTCCGTTCAGCTCCCACCACCAAGAGCTACCTGGATTCTCTCCTCTCACCTCCAAGATGGCAACCTCCTGCCGGTTGCGCAGGATCCTGAAGGCAAATGGGTGTCTGGGCCCAAAGCCTGGGACCACCTCACAGCCATGGAGGGCGATGGCATTCACATGGGTCCGAAGGTCTGTGCGGTCCTTGTGGAAATACAGAGTGTTGCACTTTAGGCGGCACCAGCGTTCCTTCCAGCTGTGGTTCACCAACACGTTTAGATAGCCTAGAATGGGAGAGCAGCAGTGTGACCTCCTCCTTGACAGCCCAGCCTTGAGGAAGCACAAGGTGGGGGATGCATGGGGTCTGTGCCCCAGGGACGAGTGCTTAGACAGCCCTTGTAGTCTGGTTAGAAGAAGGCTTTCCGGATCAGCTATCTCCTGGCCTGCAATCTCAGGCATCCTCTTCTCTTTCTGAGTTTCAGTTTGCTGTCTGAAATGGGGACTGATAATCACATTTGTACACCTCTGTATAGCCTTTGGAGCATGGCAAGCTTGATGAAAAGGGCAGGGACTGCTATATACAATGAATAAAAGACACAACTCTCTCTCTTGCCTTTCTTCTCCCTAAAATAGTGAAACTATTACTGAAGACAAAAAATAATGGATGATGCTGACACCTGGTGGCAGCATGTGGGAATAAAAATATGTAAACAATAAAGATTTATTAACTGAAGTACAGTCCCATGGCGGATGGGTTTAGAATTCCCTCTTAAATTTTAGATTTAAATTTATTTTTTTTACCATAACATGACCTGATCCACTGCTTATAAACTATTTCTATACAGCCATGTGCCTTTATAACATTCTTTCAATATTAGGGTTAGAATATTACTGTATATCTAAAATATATGATTTTCTATTGAATTCCAGCACACAGAACACTGCATTTAAATAAACAGGAAAATATGTCTTCCCTCTCAAACCACTTTTAACTCACATTGAATACATTTATAATGAAAATTATGTAAATATTTTTGTCCAAGAAATTTCCTTATAAGACTGAGTGGTAATTTACACACCTGGTATGTTTATGCTAGGAAATAAAATACTCTTCTCTCATCATAGTGGAGGAAACTGAGGCCTAGAGACAGGTAGTGATTGGAATTAAGGTCACAGGGAGCACAGAAATATGGAAGTCGGTTGGCTTTTCCTTTTGCTGAGTGTCAAGGCCTCATGGGAGAGAAGTTATGGAAAGACATGGATTGTCCATGGGGTGAGGTCGGCTATCCAGTTGGAGGATTCTCTCTTCTGTTCTGAGGGCAAGGTGGATGAGGCCGGAGGGCCTCCTGGCTTGGCCGCAGGTGCCTGCATCAACAGGGTCTGAATTCTCCTTTGCATGCCTAGTACCCACCACAGCATGGAACCTCCTCTTCAGTGGAGGACATCTGCAGGTCATCGGCCAGCGCCTTCCTCTTGGAGAAGCTGATGATGCGGGTGATCTTTCGGCCCGCAGCCCTGCTCATTGAGCCCTTCAGCTCTGCCAGGCTGCTCTTCTTCCCTTTGCCTGTTGCTGCAGAGATGGATCAGGGGAGGAGAGGGAGCCCCAAGTCCCAGGTCTACCTACCCCTGACCCTCCCAGAGGCCCTTTCAGCCTATACACAGGGCCTGGCCCACACCTCCAGATGTGGATGAGTCAGGTCACATCACCCAGGTCTCCAGAGTGGTTAGGACCTTCTCTACACTGCATGCCTGGGGCAAGGCCCCTCCCAGCTCTGGCATCCCCTGCCTGATCCCCCACAGGCTCCTACCATGTTCGCTGGCCTCTCGGCGACCAAGGGTGGAACAGTTGTCACCCATGCCCAGGCTGTCGGAGTCTGAGGTCTGCTTCTCTTGGGATAACCTCTGGGGAGGGACACAGACAGACCCACATCAGAGGTGTCCCTTGTTGGTTCAGTCTTCCACTGACTCCTGCACATGAGGATTAGCTAACAAATATTTGTCAGCAATCATACCACGTATGGGGTGGACAGTGATGACTTAGGATGGTTGTATCTCTGAGATACTCACAGTCTATTTGGAGAGCAAGGCAATTAATTATAACACATTGAGATAATTGTCCCAGCAGTTTGGGCCAGGTGACAAGGAGCTGGGAAGATATTTAAGTGGGAGACTAATGTAATGAAACCAGATTAGCAAGTTGGCTCCAGGGGCATCATGAGGGATAGACAAAGGGGAACAAGACTGGAAGCTGAAGAGCTGCTTAAGGGAGTGTCATCCTGGGCAAGATGAGACTGGACAGGAAGAACCAAGATTACAGTGAGGATGGAGAAAAAGAGAAGAATTGGCATTTAAAAAGTCATGACAGGTCAATTAAGTGCCTACTAGGTACAGTGGGAGGTGGTGCAGAGTAGTCAGACGGACCTCGGAAGAAGTTATGTCTCTAGTATCACCACTATTGGCTGTGGGAATGTGGGAAAACCCTTTCATCTCCCAAAGTCTCAGTTTTCTCACCTGAATTACACTCTTTTCAGTGGGCTGCTGTGAGGCACCAGGGAGCCCAAGTGAAATTGCGAAGTCAACGGATTATTATTTCTAACACCTGCATGGTGTGTACCATCTCACTTAAGAAACTAAACTGCCAGCCAGACTCAGGACAGGACAAAATGACACCCACCCACCAGGTGGAATTATAGAGCTCTGAGTCCCTAAACCTTTCCTGCCAAGGACCCCACAGATCAGGCTCAGGGGTGCTTCCCTGTAACACATTATTGTGATGTAGGGAGGACAGGAGAGGCTGTGTGTTCCCCTCAATTTCCAAAGGCTGGAAAACTGGCAACTGTCACTGGAATACACTGGCAAAAGTATAAAGAATCACCCCCATACATTGTGAAACAGAAGTTATGACTCTATTTATTCTGCAACAGATGATAAGTTTTCACCAAGAGAGAAAGTGACACTGTGAGCACTTGGGAACTGACTTCATGATGATGGTGGCACTTCAGTCACGTGATTCCATGGAGAGCTAGACCCCCCAATACCACATCCCCACTCCCACTCCCTTGCAAGAATGCCATTCCAAATGTTTCAGCTACCCTCCCCTGTACACTCGCCCGCAAGAAAACTCATCTCTACAAGCTTGTGTCTTTTTCCTCTTTACATACCTTTTAAACTGCACCGCAGTATGTAACTGCAAGTATATGTGTACACACACACACACGCACGCACGCACACACTTTCTCTCACACCATCAGCTTTGCTTTCCTTCAGGTCCCACTAACAGCAAAGGCTAAGTGAGGATAGGGTTGAGCTTCTCCAGCACACCGGGCACAGTCCCTACCCTTCCTATCTTAGTGACCTGACACTTTGCTTCTGCTGCTCCCTTCCCTTGCAGCCCCTGTCCCTTGGCTCACCTCTGCCCCAGTGAAATTTTGACCATTCTTTAAGGCTCACCATAAGTACATCTTCTGTAACCCCCTTGCCTCTCGAGCTAGCACAGGCTCCCATCCCCCTCACTGCAGCTCTCTAGGGCCACTCTAATAGGGCCAACAAGCTCCTCCTCCTCTCCAAGCCCAGCCACACTGACCTCTTTCTATTTCATGCTTCCTTCTGCTCTAGGGCCTGATTCCTCTTCTTGGAATACCTTTTGCTTCTCCTTCCTTGCCAATTTTTCACCCTCATCGGAAATGTACTTCTCAGAGAAGACAAGAACAGGCTCCAGGGTACCCTCCTAGCACTTCAGAGCTTGGCATTTCTAAAACTGTGTGGTGATCTGATTCATGTCTGACTCCCCCTGGAAGGCAGTGGTTGTATGTTTGTTAGGATTGCACCCCAGTGGCTAGCTCAGTGCCTGACACACTAACTACTTGCCGAGCGGAGCTCAGGATGCCCCCCTTGAGAGACAGGATGGCAAAGTCATCAAGAGCCAGGCTGCCTGGTGGAAATCCTAGCTCTGTTTCTTTTTAACTATGTGATTTTAGGTAAATCTCTCTGTGTCTCAGCTTCCCCATATGAAAACATAACTTATCAAAGAGTTGTAGAAATTAAATTTGGTAATACATGCAAAGCATTTAGAACAATGCTGGCCATATAGTCATATTCTATAACTGCTGACCTTTATTATATCACATCAGACCTACGTATGTGGGTCTTAAACCTTCCTCTAGGATTTGGGGCTGAGTCCTTTTATCACAGTACTGGGCAGAGAATACATACTAGCACGTATTTGCCAACGGCCTGGCCAGCTACTAAATGAGTATTTCACTTACGTTGCAATGGGGGACACTCCTTCTCCGGTTGACAAATACAATTTTATCATGGCTCCTTTCAAATGTAACCACTCCTGTCCTGGCAGGATTAGTCACTCCCTCCTCTGGCTTGTACTGCACCTTGGACATGGGCATTCATTCATTCACTAGAATTTATCAAGTGCTTACTGTTGTGCCTGTTCTGTGCTGTGTACTAATGGCTTATGTGACACCACTGTGGGTGTCCACTTCACCACCAGTGCAAGTCCCTCCATGGAAGAGCCTGTGCTGAGTCCCTACTTCCTGGCTCAGGGGAGACCTCGTGAAGACAGATATACCTTGTCTAGGTCCAGTCTGCACAGGAGGACTGGGGATCTGGGCATGTCTGCCCCCTCGGCCCCTGTGATCGGCTTGCTCACCTCTCGGATGACCTGTGGAGAAGACGCACAGCTGTGAGCAGGTGGGCAGGGATGCTGTGGAAGCAAAAGGAAATATAGGGTCTTTGTGGTCAGGGCCATTGAGCAGAGGGGTTGGGACCACTGGCAGGAGAGGTTAATGTGGCTTCCTGCCACATGTGTGGGCATATCAGGGCTTAAAGAGGCTTTCTCCTGTATCCCTTGAATTGAAAAGATATGGGGCTGGGAACAAAAGGCTTGGCTTCTAGACTTTGCTCCATTGCTTATTAGTTGTGTGGCCTCAAGGAAAGCCACTTGTCCTCTCTGGGCCTCTATTTCCCCATCTGTAACATGGGTTATAACTTCATTGGGTTGTCCGAGGACCAGCGAGATGATGTGTGTGAAGGGCCATGTGAACTGGGACGCCCTGCACAAGGGTGAGGGATTCACTTCTGTTGACTGTGTTGGACATTTACAACAGCCAGCGGGGCGGCCAGGGTTATCACTTCCATTTCAAAGATATGGATACTCCAGACTCCATGGCATTTACTTACCCATCCAAGGTCACACAACATAAGTATCCAGATCATGAAATAACAGTGGTCACCATTTGTGGTTTACCTGTCAGGTGACTGCATGGAATATTCCATTGTATCCCCACAACAGCCCTGTGGGGCAGGGACGACTATGGTCTCAATAAGTTACTAATTAGGATGATGAGGCTCCGAGAGGTGGAGCTGTGGTTGCAGGCCCTTAACCTCTGGGCTTCTGGAACTGATGTTAAGACAGGCGTCTTAACTCTGGATCTAGGGCTTCTTTCTCTGACCCACCCGTGCCTTGATGGCAGAGGCTCCACGAGCAGTCAGGTTCTCTCCCTTCCTTCCCTTCCTGAGACAAAGGCAGTAATGAGAAACACTAAACATTCCATTGGGAGAGCTGGTTATCACAGGAAGGAAGGGAGAATGGGGAGGGAGGGGCTTGGTTTCTTTGTTTCAGCAGGAAGATCACAGCTGGAGAGAGAAAGGTGTCAGAGTGAAGTGGAGGCAGGGCGCAGGGCCCCTAGTAAGGGTGTCTGGGGGTGTGGCCTTCACCATCACTGCGCAGTAATCACTGAAAGTTACCAAGCCCTTACTGTCTGGCAGATACTATGTCAAATGCTCTCTAGAATTCTTACAAGAACCATTAAGTAGAGGAGGAAACAGAGGCGAAGTCATTTGCAGAAGAGCATACAGTCACTTAGGCCTGGGAGTTGAACTCAAGTTTGTATGTCACCCAAGTCCCCTGTCATCATCACGTTGCCACCCTGCCTATGGTCTTTGGTGTAGATTTCCTTGTTAGCTTCTAATCTTAGCCCCGACCACTTGGTTGTGTGGCCTTTGGCAAATCATGTCAGTTCTCTGTGCCTCAGTTTCCTCATCTGTAAAATGGAAATAATAATAGTCCATTGCAAAGAGTAAATGAGGTCAGGTATGTAAAGCTCTTAGAACAATAAATGGCACACAGTAGTAAGTGCCCAGTACATGATAACTCTAACTGTTCTGTGCAGCTGCAAGATGCAGAAGCTAGACTGTAGTGGACATTACAAGGATGCACATTTCATATAAGACAAGGAAGGATTTTCTCTTTTTTAAAAGAAAAAAATGATTATCTTATCTAATGATAAAATCAGCTTCCTTCGTAGATATTAAGCTCCTCATTCCAGGAGGTGTATAAGTGCAGGCCAGACAAGCCCACAGTAGGGATGTTAGGAAGGGGATTCAAATAATGAGAAGAAACACAGGCCTCCAGCCTGTGGTCTCTCTCCTGGAGATGCATGAGGCCCATTTCTACACAGAAGCCCTAGTCATGCACAGGCATCAACCCCCTCCCTTGAGCAAAGCCTGTTCTTCCAGGGACAGGAGCCCACCCCACTGAGGGCTGGTCCTGGGAAAAAGAGGAAGGAAGGAGGGCAGGTGGAAAGGAGGGCATAGGTCCCTGTACCTTCAGCCACTCCTCGGCCTGTTCCCGGCTCTGCAGTGCTAACACCAAGACCTCGGTAGCTCCCTGGGAGAAGCGCAGCTCGTGCCTCTTGTGCCGGCTGTCCTTGGGCACGTAGATGACATTGCAGGCATCCAGTGCCAGTCTCAGATGTGGCTGCCGGTCCTTGGAGCTTTTATAACACTGGACAGGAAGAGAAGAAGTCAGGACCTCCTAGAGTGAAGGGTGCAGGAAGGAAACACTCTTGTACAAAGGCTCAGGGGAGCTCTACCTATCCCATAGAGACAACCCTCCCCACCCAGCCCAACTCTGGGCATGGCCTGAAGATGGACTGTGACTGTTCACCCCAGAGAAGAGAGGGGGTATCTTTGGGCAATCTTCAGATCTCAAGGGCTACTGAGGGGCCCCAGGGGGCACAACTACCTATTAGGAAGAGATAAATTTTAGCACAATACCAGGAAGACCATTCTAGTCTAACGAACTTCTCTAAAGAGAAGAAACAGGCTGGCTTGGGAGGAAGTCAGCTCCCTGCTACTAATGGGCTACATGGTTGGAATGTGGGAAAGAGAATTCTAGCAGAGATAGAGGGTTGGGTTTCGGAAATCAATAGTTTATCAATAATGATTCTTACTTCCCAGTTCTTAATACAAGGCCAGCATTACCTTGCTACCAGAACCTGACAATGACATTACAAAAAAGGAAATTTATAGGCTAATCTCTCTCATTACAGTTGGAAAAGCCCTAAACAGAATATTAGCAAATAGAATCCAGACACATATAAAAAGCATACTGCATTAAGACCAAGTAGGGTTTATTCTAGGAACACAAAAGTGGTTAACATTAAAAAACCAACTATATCATTCATCATACTAACAGAAGAAAGGAGACAAATGAATCACTTATCTCAGAAGCAGAAAAAGTATTTGCGTCTTTTTATAACACAAACTCTTAGCCAACTAGGAATAGAAGGGAACTTCCTTAATATAATAAGGAACTTCTACGAACAACCCAGAGCCTTGATGGTGAATTACTGAAGCTTTTCCTTTGAGATCTGGACTGATACAAGGAAACTCTCACCACTTCTTTTTACATTGTGCTAGAAGTTCTAGCCTGTGCAATTAGTCAAGAAAAATAGAGGTCATACAGAGGGAAAAGAGCAAGTCGTGACCCTGGACCAATTCTGAACTGGGATTAGCCTTTCACTGCTGGTGAGAAAAGGTCATGTTTCAAATGGATATGTGTTAGGCAAGGCTTGTCAACAAACTTTTGTGTAAAGAACTGTTATTTTTTTCTGAAGTTATGCCCATTCTTCTACTTTGGAATTAAGGGTACATTTTCTTTTATGAAATAATAGTGATGAGAGATGGTGAACTAAAAAACACTTTAAGAAAGCAAGTGCTGCATGGGCTCCGTTTTGGGAAAGACCAATGTATGAAAATGAGGGTGGAAATAAGTCCATTAAAACTTAACAGGTGCGTCCTCCTTGGGGCAAGCCCACTCCAATTTACTTTTCGAGTGAATTGTCCTTCTCCTAAACTCTAAGAGTCCCCACAAGACTTGCAACCAAGGGAGCAATGGGCAGTGGCAGCTCGTCCCTGGCTAACCCCCGAACCTGTCTCCAAGGCTCCGTTTTCTCTGATTTTCTAGTGAGCTGACAGCAGCCCCGCTTTGGTGCACTTCTTTCTCATAAAGTTTCTAGAGAGCCAAAGCAGACCCGCCTAGGCTCTCTCCTACTGCTGCTTCTATCCTAGGCCCTTCCTTGCTTCACTGTCCCCAGCTTTAGTAACCATAATCCCCCCTCCCTGCAAAAAAACCTTAACGCTGGTTAGCTCTTGGTCAATGGGATTATAGGTGGTGTTTTTAAAAATCATTTGTTTCATTTTGTTTTGCACAAGTTTTATAAATAAATACTTGCATAATGAAAAACAATAAACATTGTTTTAATCCGCACCCAAGGATACTTTTTCCATTGATTTTTAGAGAGAGTGGGAGGGAGGGAGGGAGGGAGGCGGAGAGAGAGAGGACAGAGAGAGACAGACATCAGTTGGTTGCCTCCCACACCAGTCAGGGCTAAACATTGTTTTAAAATGATAAAAGCCCAGCTGGAGTGGCTCAGTTGGTTGAGTACCCTCCTGTGTACCAAAGGTTGCCGGTTTGATTCCCTTGGGGCACATACCTGAGTTTTGGATTTGATCTCCAGCCGGGGAGCATATGGAAGGCAACTGATCAATGTTTCTCTCTTGTGTCGATGTTTCTCTCTCCCTTCCTCTCTCTAAGCATGTCCTCAGGTGAGGATTAAAAAAAATAATTAAGTGATAAAAAATTTGGCTCTGGCTGGGAAAGTCTGTGTCAGGTCTAATTTTTTGGTTTTTAAAAAAAATTCTACTCCAGTGGCAGATCACTGATCTTCAAAACACCAGCCTTTGAGCGTCTGTGCACAAAGCAAGCCCAGAGTAGCCGAGGCAGACACACCCAGACACACACACAGATACACAGGCATGCACAAGTCCACATGAGGCCGAGAGGAAGATGTCCGCACCCACTCACCAGGAGCTGGTCCTCCTTGATGACGGTCAGCTGCTTGGCCCACTGCCCAAAGCGCTTTTTCCGCAGCAGGAAGGCACATATCCTGCAGTCTCTCACCAGGTGCATGGAGGCCTCCTCGGAGGGCCACTGGTGCATGGGCTGCAGGCCCTTCCCTTCCTCCTCCTCCTCGTCATAGGACTCATAGGAGCTGCTCATTGCGTCAGAGTCATTGTCTGCAGGCGCCATGGGAAAGGACCTGCCACTGTGCCATCACCTGTGAGGCACCTCCCTACCCCTCTGCAGGCATCCCTGCTCTGGGGCCCAGGGACCATGAAGAGGTAGGTGTGAGGTGTGATCATGATAATGACTAAACACCCCCCATGGGTGCTGTATTTTACATTTCCCACTAGCTTTGTGGCCTTGGTGACTTGACTTCTCACAGCTTTAGTTTCCTCATCAGCACAATGGTCATAATGAACAAAAGTATCATAGTATCTACTAAGTGGGGCTGTTGGGAGATTCAATGAATGTGGAGTTTAGTTAAGTGCCTGGCACCCAGTGAGTGCTCTGTAAACATCAGTGATTGTCACTACCTCATCATCTTCTCATCTTCTCAGGTCACTCTCACGACACTCCAGCAAATCCCCATTTTATACATAAGGAAACTGGAGGCTCAAAGAGAATAAATGACTCATCTGAGGTCAGTCACCAAGAGTCAGGGCAAGGGCTCCATCGGGGGCTCCTGACTCCTGTGCCAGTGATCTTTCCACTGAATCCTGAGGCCAGTGAGGACAAGGGCTTTGGCGCCTCCATGGTGATGCCAGTGGGTTCAGGCAGGGTGGCACGTGCATGCCAAGGGTCAGGTCAAGGGGACAGAACCTACCGAAGGCCCACCTGTTACTTACAGGAGTTCTTCAGCTCTCCGTTCATCCTGGTCGAGGGGTAGCTGCTGTCTGCGTCCTCATAGTAGCCATCCACAATGGAGTGGGCTGGGCTGCAGCCATCTGTGAGGTTGGCAGAAGGAGCCCCACTTTGGAGAAATGTAGGCAGAGCCCAGGGGCCAGGGCTGGGGAAGACCCTGGATACCATTCCCCACTCAGGGGAGAGAGAATGGCACTCCCTGCAGCTCTCCCCAGCCAGGGTGTGGGGCCTCCTCAATGTATCTCATCTACTATAGCTCCCCCTGTGCCCTCTGTGCTCCCATCACCAGGAACTGCCCTGGTGGGCCCTGTCACACCTCCAGGCCTTGTTCATGCTGTTCCCTGTACCCTCTTATTTTCTCCCAGAGAACTCCTACTCACCTTTCAAGACCCAGCTCAAAGACCTTTTCTCTGACCTTGGCAGGCAGAGAGTGATAAGCCCTTCCTCAGTGACCCCAGAGCACTGGTGTGTGGATGTGTGTCTTGGTCATAGCTTGGTCCCTGTACTGCATAGAGCGGTGACCCTGACCCCCTCGCTATTCTGCCTTTGCCTCATTCTCTGCCACCGCAGCCCTTCTGCTTGCACTCCCTGATACACCTCCCTTGTTGTCAGAGCCATTCCCCTTCTAAGCCTCTGACTACGAAGGAGGAAATGGACTAGAGGAGGTAATAATAATGTACACAGAAGTTACACAGCAGCTGCCCGTGCTGGATTTTCACAACACAATCTCATTCGGGTGCAGCACAGTACATGGCTGGGCACTATCTCAAATTTTATTCTATTTCAGAATGATCAGGTGTCTTTTTAAAATGCAGACCCTTGGGTTGTATCCCCAGAAATTCTGATTCACCAGTGTGGATTGGGCTGAGAAATCTACACTAAAAACCCCTCAACTACTTAATAGGACATTTGAAAACATATGTAAAAACAGAAAATATATTGAACTCCAAGGAGTTGGATTTTTTTAAAGAAACAACAACAAGGTTATTTTGATGTAGATCATCTCTGGAACACACTCTGAAGTTCAGTGGGTTAAGGGCATATGCTTTGGGATTGATCAGATTTCAGTTTAAATCCACCTCCACCATTTGCTGAGTGACCTTGGAAAGAAAACAGTTTCTCTGCGTTTGAGCGTCTTTACCTTAAAGTGACATGCACAGTTCCCACCTTGGATTAGTGATATAATGCATATGAACTCCCAGCACAGTGCATGACACACACAATGTGCTAGAGAAACGCCAACAATCATTATTATTATTATCTCCTCCCATTCCCATAATGCAGGGATGTAGGGATCAGCCCCATTTTACAGATGAGGAAACTGAGCTACACACAATTTGTTAGTGACAGAACCTGGATGAGAACCAAGATTGCCAGCTTAGGGGACGGAGGCACAACCCCTCCTTCAGAAAGCCTTCCCTCACCCAGTCCAACTAGCTCTCACACCACACTGCTCTTCAGAGCACTGCTCTGGGCTCCCAGGCCCTGCTGTCCATCTGTTTCCGCAGGATGGCAGTGCTCAAATTCTTAGAGACTGGGACATCCAGTTCTGTCTCCCAAGTGAGGCTCAGAGCCTGCCTTTCCCAGCAGGTACTCTGAGGCCTTACATGCTGGTGACATGTCCGTGAGGTGGACTGGGGGAGTCAGGACCAGAGG